TATTTTTAAATTTTATTAATTTATTTTGATTTATCAACAATCACTTCCATGTGCTTTTGAGTTTAAAATTTTTCTCCCCCTTCTTCCTCACCACCCTCCCCAAGACGGTGCACAATCTGATATAGGCTATGCATTTACATTCCTATTAAACATGTTTTCACATTAGTGAAGTTGTAAGTAAAAATTAAAACCAATAGGAGGAACCATCAGAAAGAGGAAAGAAAACTCAACAGAAGAGAAAAAAAAAGATGGTGATTCAACTTTCACAGTTATGATTATTATCTGTATCTTTTTCTCCATCCTTTTTCCCCCTTTTATGCTTTTCTTTCTCCTCTCTCCCTTTCCCCCCTCATCAGTACTTTGCTTTTGACCACCACCTCCTTCAGTCTCTCCTCCCTTCTATTATCCCCCTTCCCCCTCTTCCTCTTTGCCTTCATAGCTTCTTCCCTCCCTTCCATCCCCACTCTCTTTTCTTTCCTCTTTTCCCTCCTACTACCCATAGGGCAAGTTAGATTTCCATACCTAACTATGTTATTCCCTTCTTGAGCCAAAGCTGATGAGAGCAAGGTTCAAACAATGCTCCCCCCCCCCCTTTCCCTCTGTTGTAATAGGATTTTCTGTTTTTTCCTGTAATGTAATTTACCCTTGTCTTCCTCCTCCTTTCTCAATACATTTTCTAAGATCAGACTAATCCACTTACTTGGATCCATTTAACCCACTTGATTAGATTTTTTTTTATCATTACATCAAAGTCAACTAATACCCACTCTCTTTATGTATACTCCTTTAACATGGTGTAATAACAATACAGTTCTCAAGAGTTGCAAGTGTCATCTTCCCTTGTAGGGATGTAAACAGTCCACCCTTATTAACAACATTTTGTATCTTTCTGTCCCATTTACCTTTTTATGTCTTTCTTGAATCTTGTACTTGAAGATCAAATTTTTTGTTGAGCTCTGGTCTTTTTATGAGGAAGGTTTGGAAGTCCCCTATTTCATTGAATATCCATCTCCTCCCTTGAAAAATCATGCTCATTTTTGCAGGGTAGTTGATCCTTGGCTGCAATCCAAGCTCCTTTGCCTTATGGAATATCATGTTCCATGCCCTGTGGTCTTTTAATGTAGAAGCTGCAAGGTCCTGTGTAATCCTGACTGTGGTTCCATGATATTTAAATTGTTTCTTTCTGGCTGCTTGCAGCACCTTCTCTTTCATCTGGTAATTTTGGAATTTTGCTATTATATTCCTTGGCGTTGTCAATTTGGGATGTCTTTCAGGTGGTGAATGGTGGATTCTTTCTATGGTTATTTTCCCTTCTGGTTCTAGGACTTCCAAACAGTTTTCCTTTATGATTTCCTGAAAGATACTGTCCAGGCTCTTTTTTTCATCATGATTTTCAGGTAGACCAGCAATTTTTAAATTGTCTCTCCTGCATTGATTTTCCAGGTTGGTTGTTTTACCAACGAGATATTTCATGTTTTCATCCATTTTTTTGTTTCTGTTTGACTGATTCTTGCTCTCTCATAGAGTCATTAGTTTCCATTTATCCAATTCTAGTTTTTAACAGATTGTTTTCTTCTGTTAGTTTTTGTACTTCCTTCTTCAATTGGCCAATTGTATTTTTAAGGGATTTGTTTTCTTCAGTGTACTTTTTTTCCAGTTTGCCAATTGTGTTTTTTAGGGACTTGTTTTCTTCAGTGTACTTTTTTTCCAATTGGCCAATTGTATTTTTTAAGGACTCTTCTACCTCTCTCATTAGACTTTTAAAATCCTTCTTGAGCTCTTCTAAGAAGGCTTTTTGGGCTTCAGACCAGTTCATATTCCCTTTTGATGTTGCAGATGTGGGTTTGTTGACAATGTTGTCCTCTTCAGAATTTCTGTCTTGATCTCCACTCTTCTCATAATATGAATCTATGGTATGTTTCTTTTTACTCATTGTGTTTCTTTATTCCCTGGCCTTTAAAGAGATTGAGCTCTCTTGCTGGGGAACAGAGGGCACTGACCCAAGCTTCTTGTGTTGGGAGCCTAGGTCTTGGTCACTGGCTTTGTGTGCTGGGGCCTCTTATGTTGGCAATTGGAGGCTGTAGGGTTTTGGCAGCTTACCTTGTGTTGGGCTGGAATCAGCAAGTCTGGAACTTTCAGGCAATTCTGGGTTGCCTGCTTTTCCTTTCATTTAGCTTTCTTCAGCTCCTTTTAGATGGGTGCTGCAGGGTGTTTATCTGCCTGGGGCCCCTTGCAATGCTGCCTCCCTCGTTTCTGCTAATGCACTGGGAGATTCTTTTGTGGTAGAGTGCCGAGGCACCTGGTGGTTTTCTGAGCTGGTTTCCACCGGTTTAACACCCCCCCACTCCTCCCTTCCCCCTCACTGAGGTACTTGGAGGTCCAGGTGTTGGTGTTTGCCTGCTGTACCACCTGGGCTTCAGGATTTCCTCCTGGTTGACAGTTGGAGGCTGTAGGGTTCTGACAACTTACCTGGGGTTGGGTTGGAATCAGCAAGGCTGGGACTTTAGGAAGACTCTAGGTTGCTTTCTTCAGCTCCTTTCAGATGAATGCTGCAGGGTGCTTATCTGCCTGGGGCCCTTTGTAGTGCTGCTTCCCTTATTTTTGCTGAGGCACTGGGAGACCCCTTTGCTGGGAGGCTGCACTGCTGTTCCCTGTCTTTCTTCTAGTTCAGCTGTTCCGGGGTTTTTTTTCCCTAGGGTGATATTTTCTGGGTTTTCAGTGGTTGATAGGGAAGGGTGAGAGCAATTACCTTTTTACTACACCATCTTGGCTCCTGGAAGTGGAAGTCACTATGTGATTTTAATAAGAAATCTTGGTACTTTGAGTCTCTCTTTCTTTCCTTGGAAATGGTGATGAATGGAGGCAGATCATCAGTATACCGTGTCCCACGTGGTCTTGTGTCTCTTGCATTTGCTTAACTATGTTTCTTAGTTACAATGGAAGGCACACTAAAACATGGGTAGGGATGGATATTAGAGATTGTTAATCAAATCACCATTAACTTTGCTACTGTGAAAGGCTATGACATACACACACACACACACACACACTCTCTCTCTCTCTCCCCATATACATTTATATGTGCATATAGACATATATAGACACATATATAATTTCTGAGGTTAATAAACATCAAATAAAATGAACATTTTCATATACAAAGTAGAACTTTTTAAAAAGGATTTTAAATAAAATTATGAATTTTTTATATACAGCTTGCTTTTTTCCTTTTATAATAAAATCAACATGAAACTTTCAAAGCTGTCTTATTTATCTGTATTGGCCATGACAATTTTCTACCTCTGGTTCTATTCAGAATCCTTGTAATTCTGAATCATAGGCTGCTACACAAATGCTCCCTTCTCTGATCATCATGCCAAGATCCTTTATATGCAATATCAGTCCGTCTCTCAGCTGTCCGTTCTCTACCTTTCATTATGACCTCTGGATACCCTCTGCTCTATTATTTTTAATATTTTTTATTTTGTCAAGTATTTCCCAAAAAAATTCTTACAGGTCATTTTTTAAAATTGTGAGTTTCAAATTATTTCTCCCTTCTACCCCACCCCCCTCCTTTAGAAGGCAAGCAATTTGATATTGATTATACATGTGAAGTCATGCAAAACACATTTCCATTATTAGCTATGCTGCAAAAGAAAATGCAGACAAAAAAATGAACTCAGAGAAATAATTTTTTTTTTAAAGTATGCTTCAATCTGCATTCACAATTCATCAGTACTCTCTCTGGAGGTGAATAGCATCTTTCTTCACAGGTCCTTTCTTGACTCATTGTCTTGATCAGAGAAACTAGTCATCCACTGTTGCTCATCCTTAACAATGTTGCTGTTACTGTGTATGATGTTCTTCTGGTTCTGCTTACTTCACTTGGATCAGCTCATATATGTCTTCCCAGGTATTTCTGAAATCATCCTGCTTGTCTGTTCTATATGATAACTTGTTAAGCCATTTTCCAATTGATGGGCATTCCCCCTATTATTAACATATTGCCCTTCCTGTTAGGTTTCTGTCTATTCTGTGCCCCCAAATAACTTTATGTATATATATATAATATATATATATATATATATATATATATATATACATACACATATCTATGTTATATATTTTATATCTACTTATACGTATATCCATTATTTCCTCCTCCAAAAAAATGTAAGCTAGGTGGTGTAGTACAATGGTGCTGAACTGAAATAGAAACTTCTAGACCCAACATAAGGTCCCTGCAGGCTGCATATTGCTACATAAAACCATATATCAACATTATCTATTTTATACCGTGGTGCCTAGGTAGTCTGGTAGATATAGCATCAGACTTGGAATCTGGCCTCAGATATGACCCTGGGCAAGTTACTAGACTCTGTTTGCCTCAGTTCCTCATCTGTAAAATAGGGTGAAGGAAATAGTGAAGCACCCCAGTATTTCTGCTGAGAAAACCCTGTGGGGATCATGAAGTGTCAAACATGACTGAACAATAATATTCTATTGTATTTTGTTTTAAACATTTCCCAATTGTATTATAATATTGTTTGGCTGGATTCTGGCTATAGTTGCCTCATGTTTGACATCTCTGGAGTAGAGAGCATTGGACTTGTTATCGGGAAGACCCGAGTTCAAATCCTAATTCAGCCACTTGCAAGCTAGCTGGGCAAGCAGGTGGTTATTGGCTTAATCGCTCTGTTTCAGTTTCCTCTTCTGTAAAATGGGTATAATGGAGTTGTTGTGAGAATAAAATGAGATAACATATGCAAAGTTCTTTGCAAGCCTTAACGTACGAAATAATACTATCTACTTTTATTAAGCTCTTTGAAGGCTGGGACTATTTTATTTTGATTTTGTATCTCCAGCTCCAAGCACAGGGTCTGGCATAAAGGAGGCGCTTATTAAATGTTTTCGGAAATGAAATGAATTGAAATGACAGTAGTGTTTTTAAAAAATGGCATTAATAAAGTAAATGTTCACTTTAAAAACAACAACAACCACACCAATAAAGTTCCAAAGATCTTGGTATTTGGCAACTTCCAGGTTCATCTGGGGTTTGGGAGACAGTCATCGCTATGAGAACACAGCAGAAAAATCCATTCCTGCGTCCTTTTGCGGAGCTCTGGAGACACTCCACCTGCTCTCTCCCTCAAACAACAAACAGATCTCTGGTGTTTGAGCCAAAATGTGCTACCTTTATAGCATTTCCTAGTTCCAGTTGCAAGAAGCTCCTCTCGACCCTTTAAAAAAAAAAGAATAAAAGAAGAGAAATGACAAACAACACTTTCGCAAAGCATTCCGGGAGAGGTAGTCCCGAGACGATGGGATTCGAAAGGGAGGTCCAGCGCGCCAGAATCCAATTCCTATATGCCTAGCACCAGGGGCCGCTGCCCGGATGTGGAAGGGGCAGTCGCCATCTTGAGAGAGAGCCGAGACGCTGCCGGCTGTGGACCGAGCCCCAGGGGCTCATCCGCGGCCGCCAGCTTTGAGAACCGAGACCTCCCGGGCTGGTTTTTCTCTTTTCTCACAGGTCGGTTTTTAACTATGAGAGGTTTCTGTTGGGAGGGAAAAGTCAACGCAAGACCTTTAGAGCATGGTAACAAGGCGCCCTGTGGTCAGCCGGATGCGACTAGCGTTTAGGCCTTTTCCTCCCTCTGCCTCCCGCCATGGGCCTCCTAGATATATCCTGCACTAGCTTGCATGCACTTTGGAGAAGGCGCCCGCCGAGTGCCTGAGAACCACTGAGCTGGGGAGACCTCCAGGACTCCTAGAGAGGACCCGGAAATGCTCTCGGGGGGGGAGGAGAAGCCAGTGACGTATTCCCGCTTCCTGTCTGGGAGAGTCTGGCGTTCTGCAGGCCCTGGCCTTCCTTTCCCAGCTCTTCTTGCCCGTGTTTACTATAGGGTTCACGGTAAGGAGGTGAGGAGTGGCCGGGCTGGTAAAAATTCAGCTAATGGAGCTCTTGCCTCGGGAGTTTCCAGGAAGGTGGCTATCTAGATAGCAGGTTCCTCCTGGTCTCGTGCTTTTTCCTCTTCTAATCCATCGTGTGTCGGGGCTTTGTATTCGTATTTGTGGCCCCTCCGTTTGTTGTGTGTCTGTGAGTCCGTCAGGTATGTTTGATGGGGAGACAGTCAGTTCGATGAGGAGCTTCCTTTATCCTGTCCTGAGTTGGTTTCAGTCATTCAACATATATTTGTTTAGCAAGGTATTGGACAGTACGTAGCATGCAAAATTGATTAAAACTTTCATTTCCCTCCAGGAGTTTACAGGATGGTTAGTAGAGTTGAAACGAATAAATGGATGTCTACACCAGAAGGCAAAATAATAGGAGACTTGAGAGAGGTTGTGAAGGGAGGGAAGCTTAAAGAGATCTTGGAGTAGAGAGAAATAACATATGATTGGAGAAATTGGGCAAAACTACTTGAAGGGTTCATTCTAATGAACCCTTCTAGTATGACAGGCAGTGATGGGGAAGAAAAGGCAAAGGGCTTCCAGAAAGCTTATCTTCTCATGAACCTAATCTAAGAGAAACCAAATTCAAAGACTTTACTATAAAATAGAGATAACTTACTAAAGGCAATAGGGCTCACCCAGTGATCTGTTGAGCTCGCTTACTGCTCCAAGATCTATATTTTAGGATTCTTCTATATGATTTGGGGGCATGGTGACCTTTTGAAATGTGGGCCAGACTACCATCAAAGGAGATTGGCTGGGAAGAATTCTTATTGAAGTGAGATGAGAGATGATATGTTTGGCTTATGGTTCTCAAAGCACCTTGGCATATAGATGGGAAGTACATGCTGTAAGAAGATCAGTTGAAGGAAGTGAGTCTGTTTTGTCTGGAAAAGAGAAGATTTAGTGGAGAACCAGTTTTTGAAAGATAGTCACACGGGAGAGGAATCAGACTTGTTCTTTGTAATATCAAAAAGCAGAACTAGGAGAATGGGTGGAAATTGCAAAGAAGCAAAGTTAAGTTTGAAGTTTAACAATTAGAGCTATCCAAAAGTGGAGAAGGCTGCTTCAGCAAATAGTGGACTTTCCTTTCACTGGAGGTATTCAGGCAAAGGCTGCCACATCTGCTTGCTCAGTATGTTGTTGAAGTAATTCTTTATTTAGATATGGTTTGGACTAGAAGAGCCTCTGAGGCCTATTGAGAGACCCTGAGATTCTATGAAAGTTAGGTAGGAGAAGGGACAGTGTGAATCATAAAGGGAGAGAGAGGGTCCTGGAATTTTTTTTTTTTGTAAAGTATACACAACCATCAAATATGAATGTGACTAAAAATAAATCAAGTTATGGGTCCATGCCATTTTCTTAACTAAAAATATTTAAGCATTTAAGTAAATTAAGCGAAATATCCATAGGACCTTTTAGGATTTTGAATATGGAAAGTGCCATGTTTTCCCTAACAGTATATAATGCACTATTTTTGTGTAGTTATCTCCTGTGCTACTCAAAAAAAACCCAGCCTTTGTACTTTGTTTTATTAAAATGATGTGAATTTGTGAACTGGCATTTTTAGTACTTATTGGGTAAATTCTTTAAATATTTGTATTTCAGTTCTTCTGATGCTTGGGGACTTGGAAGAGTCAGTGATGGGTTGATTAGAACTTATGAATTTATATCATTTCACCTATAAGATCATGCAGTTTTTAAGTGGAAGAGACATGAGTTACGAAAGTCACCTCACACATCTTTGGCAATAAAGACAGTTCCAGTTCTTGTACACAAGTGTCTACATCATAAAGATCTTCGTTGTTGGTACACATTTCAAATTTTGCTTATGCTCTCCTTTGAAAAAAATAGTGAACTATGCTGCAAGTCTGAAATTGACTCTCCATTTTAGGGATGAGAGATACTGAAAAAAAGGGGATCTTAATCATGTAAATAATTTTCTGCCTAAAGATTTCATCTGTTATGAATTCTATTTTAAAAAACTAAAGTGAAAGTAATGTTTAAATATAGGCATTTACTAAATATCTTTATCTTTAATTTTTTTAGATTTTTGTTTCTTATTAAGACTTTAGAGTTTAGATTTTTCTTAAAAAAAATCGATTCTTCACTTAATAACATAGCTGTTAATTGTATGAATTTTTTCCCCAGATGCCTTATTGTGAAAATTAAGCTAATCTTTGGGACATGGTAAAAAAAAAACCTAGGAAGTGAAACATGCAATAAAAAACTGAAATCAACAGAAGAGGCTTATACTAATATTCCATGATGGTGGTAACCATTTTCACACATCCTAAGAGAAAACAGAGAACAACAGGATACCTTTATCCATCTTTGATGACAAAGAAAATGGAAAAACTCAGGAGAGCAAGACTGAAACTACAATTTTGTTGAAACCTTTGGGGAATGTAATCTCTCATAGTAGGCCAGATATCATTGAATCATTTCATTCAAAAGGCCTACAGCATGCAGATCCTACATCCATGAATATCAGTGTGGTATCTAGAAATAACTGTACTTATGTCTCTGGAAATATTAAAAAAATTAGAATGGAAGGAAATCTCAAGGTAGCTATCCCAGTTAGTGGAGAGGAAGTGGAATATAGCACAAGCAAAGCATTCATAGGGCCTATTTACAAAAGTCCTGAGGAAAATAAACGAGACAAAAGAAAACATCATATACAAAAAATCATTGGTGGAGTGGAAAACAAACAGAACCCTTCTTCTAATGAACTGGATATAGACAATGAATTATCTCAGTTTTACAAAGAAATTCAGGAGCTTGAGAGTGAAAAAGAAGATTTGGAAGGCAATTGTCAGGAATTTAAATCCCCTCATGAGCAATTTAGCTTATATTATCAAGGCCATTATGATGACAGTTTAAAATATGATGAAGAAAAGAAAGATACTTGGTTTAGTGCTATATATTCACCCCCTGGTGATGAGCAATATTTTAGTAATGAGCCAGTTGGTTGGAACACTGCATATGCAGTTAATGGACAAATGGAACCTACATTTTTTAACAACCCAGTTCCTTCCTTTAGGCCTGAATGGCAACCAGTGGAATCCTCTTTAGTTCCTCATGGCCATTTTCCTTCTGGCTTCAATTATCATTTAAATTTTCAAAGATTTAATCCATCTCCATCTCCACCACCAAATGTTTTCCATGCTCAAGATGTTAAATTATGTGAAATGTACAATGGATGTAATGTAAACAGTGGCAACACAAATTGGAATTGTCCGACATTTGATCAGACTAACAGATATTCTGATTGTGATGGGAGGAACGGTATCATACAGGCCCCTCGAAATGGCCACAGTGAACAAGATGGACGAGAAAGTAATGGTTTCTGTGAAACAAGAGAAGAATCTTGGGAAGACCCTTCTCTATTCCAGATTGAGAAAACAGACAGGCTTATAAACCAGCAGTTCCAAGAGGAAAAGCTAAAGAGGCTACTTATCCTTTTAAGAGGCCTGCCCGGTTCAGGGAAAACAACATTGTCTCGGTAGGTAAATAGTGGTATTGGGACTATTTGGTAATCTTAATGGTATTAATCGATAATAAAAATACTAGTGTAATCGATAGCAACTCTTACATTCCAAGTGTAATAAAACATGTCCTAATTAAGGAGGTGAGTTATAAACTGTCTTAAGTAAATATAAATTTATTACTTTTGGGTACACAGAGAAACACTACTGGTATGGGAAAGGGAGTTAGGTTTTATCTGAGGAAAATCTAAATGCTTAAAATATATATATGCAAATTACAGCAAATTTTATGTACACAAATGTTTAATAAGCATGTTGGCCTTTACGTTTTAGGTAACATACTTGAGAACACATGGCTAGGAGTCAGAAAAAACTAGATTTTAGTCATAGCTTTGTTAATTATTAGCTTTGTAATCTTGGGCAACTTACTAAACCTCTTTATTTGTGAAGAGACTGACTATCTGCCTAGTGTTCTCATCAGTCAGCTAGTAAACATTTATTAAGCCGCTACGATGTGTTTGGTACTGTGCTAAGTTCTGGGAAAGACAAAAGACAGTCACCAGTCTTAAGGAGCTCACAGTCTAATAGAGACAGTGTGCAAACTTACATATGTACAAGCTATGTACAGAATAAACTGGAGATAACAGAGGGAAGACTTATTCTCTCTGTTAGGGAGATCAGGAATTAAGGGATCGGGAAAGGATAGACTGGAATGGAGTCATGACAGAGACCAACCAGAAAATATTGCAGTAGTCTAAGTTTGAGGAAGTGAAAGTCTGCACTGTGGTGGTGGCAGTGTCAGAGGAGAAGGGGGGAGGGGGAGTCTATTGTAGAGATGTTAGGAAGGTAGAATCAACAGCCCTGAGCAACAGATTGGATAGAGTGAAAACGAGGGTGGGGTTGTGAATGACACCTAGCTTGCCAGCTGGAGAGACTGGGAGAATGGTCGTGCCCTGGACAGTAATAGGGAGATTAGGAAGAGGGGAAGGTTTGGGGAGGAAAATAAATTCAGTTTTTAAAATGAGGAGTTTAAGATGACCACATGTCATCCAGTTGGAGATATCCAATAGTCAGTTGAGACTGAAGATTAACAGAGAAATGTTAAGGCTGAATAAATAGATCTGAGAATCATCAGCATAGAGATGATAATTGAATCCATGGGAACCAATGAGATCACCAAATGATCCCACCAAATGAGGGAGAAAAGAAAAGGGCCTAGATCATTTTGGGATGCCTACCTTTATTGAGCATGATGTAGGTAAAGATCCAACAAAGGAGACTGAGTAGGAGAGGTCAGCTGGGTAGGAAGAGGACCAGGAGGAAAATGTTCTGAAAACCTGTAGAGAAGAGACTATCAAGGAGAAGAGGGTCATCAATGGTGTTAAAGGCTGAAGAGAGGTCAGGAAGGATAAAGACTGAGAGAAGTTCATTAGATTTGGCAATGAAGAGATCGAAACTTCGGAATGACCAGTTTTGTCTGAATGACACATTTGGAAATCAGACTATAGGAGTTAAAAAGAGTGAAAGGAGCTAGAGACACCTATTTTGGATGGCTGTCAAGGGTTTTATCCACAAAAGAGAGGAGAGATGTAGGATGATAGTTATTGGAGATGGAAGGATCAAATGAAGGTTTTTTGAAGATGAGGAAGATGTGGGCATGATTGTAGGCAAAAGAAAGCAGAAGGAGAGATTGAAGGTAAGTGAGAGTATGGGTGACAGGGAGCATGCTGCTGGAGAAGACAGGGTGGAATGAGATCACCTGTGCAATTAAAGGAGTTTACCTTGGCGAAGAAAGGTGCCACTTCAATATTTGAGATAGGGCTGAAGTCGAAGATCTCAGCAAAAGGCAGATAGGAGATGTAAATTGAGCAGTAGGGGAGAAAAGGAAGGTGTAAGTGAATTGCAAATAGCTTTGCATATAATCTCATTTGATCTTCACTACTGCCCTATGGAGTAAGTGTTATTCCCACTTTACAGATTACTGAAGCGCAGAGAGGTTTAAGGGACTTTCTTGAGGATTCCCAAGTTCCTCATTAGACACTGGGCAACCTAGCTAACAAGTTAACAACAAAAAAAAAGATAATATTTACATAGTGTTTTAAGGTTTGCAAAGCTCTTTACAAATATTACATCATTTGATTCTCACTGCAACCCTGTGAGGTAGGTGCTATCACCCCTGTTTTACAGATGAGAAAACTGAGACAGTGACCTGCTGAGGGTCACACAGCTAGTAAGTGTCTAAGGCAGGTTTTCAACTTATGTTACTTCTGTTACAAATGAAGATAAACTGTGGAACTTCTCAGTAACTTTGGTACTTTTGGGGCGAATTTGTGTTTTACCAATTTTGTGTATTCTAAGTGTGTTACTCAGTAGTTTAAGTCTTGTGCAACTGACTGGGATGACTTTAATGGAGTGTATTAAAACTGATCACGAGTGGGAAGAAGAAGCTTAGTACTCTTCTTTGTTTCAAGTGTCTCAGGCATTTACACACATATAACACACACGCACGCACACATGTGCACATGGGAGCACATTGCTGCTTAGAAGTAGATTCCCTGCTAATTGAAATTCTCCTTACCCAGGCAAGGTCTTGTTATATGTTATGGTATTCAAAAAAGACAAACTTCCACCCCACTATTTCAGGATTAAGCCAGGCTATGGAATTTAAGTAACAGTCTTTGGTTTATCAAATAGAACAACTTTCCCTGAATCCTGGAGAAGCATTTTACTAAAAACCATTCAGTCCCAGCAAAAGTGGAAACGGAGGTATTGATCCCAATTAGATTAGTCAGAAGGGATCTGAACACACTAATTTGGGTTCTCTGGTACATCTTAGTTCTTCCCTGAACTTTGACTTAGTTTTCCCTTTAGAAATTCATTTGACCTTGACTGAAGAATTTCAGACAAGGATCCTTTCCCCTTGGCATTTGATTGTTGTTGAGTGTTTTGAGGCCAGATTTGAATTCATGAAGATGAATCTTCCTGGTTCCAAGCCCAGTGCTTTATCCATTGGGCCACCTAGCTGCACTGGCATTTGATTAAGTATTGACAAGGCTTGTTTCTTTTAGATGAGTCCAAAGGCTAACATGACTACAACATGGAGAAAATAGGATTTCTTAATATTTTTTAAGAGGACGGGGAGGCAATTGGAAGAATTTTAAGAAGATAAAGGCCAACATAGGGAAATGATTCAAATTTATGAGATTAAGAGCCATTCTCCCAGTTGATAAATGGTTAAAGATTATGAATAGTAATTTTTTGAGAGGCAGGAATCCAAACTATCAATAGCCACGTACTCTAAACCGCTAATAATTAGAGAAATGCACATTAAAATACCTCATACCCATCATATTGGCTAAGTTGACAAAAAAGGAAAATAATAGATTCTGGAAAGTTGGTGGGAAAACCAGAACAGTAACACACTGTTGATGGAGCTGTGAACTGGTCCACTCATTCTGGAAAGTGATTTGGAACTATGTCCAAAAAGCTATTAAACTGCATACCTTTTGACTTACTGCTACTGCTACTAGGAGTATACCCCAAAGGAGGGTGGCAGGGGGATAAGGACCCATAGATACAAAAAATATTTGCAGCAGCTCTTTCTGTGGTGGCAAAGAATTGTAAACTGAAGGGATACCCGTGATTTAGGGAATGGCTGAATAAATTATGGTATATATGAATGTGATGGAATAGTATTACACTATAAGAAGTGCTGAGGGAGGTAGTTTTAAAACCTGTGAAGACTTGTATGAACTGATGAAAAGCAAAGTGAGAAAAACCAGGAGAACAATATATATAGTAACAGTGATACTGTAAACAATCAGTTTTGAAAGACTTAGGAATTCTGATCACCACTATGACCAGCTATATTTTCCAAGGACTAGTGATAAAACATGCTATCCACCACCAGATAGAAAGCTAATGTTAGACTCTAGAAATTATTTTAAACATATTAAAAGACATTTTCTTTTCTTTTTCCTTTGCTTTTTTTTGGACGTGATTAATGCAGGAATTTCTTTTGCATGATTATACATATTTCTCATGGCGCAGCTGGGTGACACAGTAAATAGATAGAATGCTAGGCCTGGAATCATGAAACTCATCTTCCTGAGTTCAAATCTGGCCTCAGACACTTGTCAGTTGTGTGACCCTGGGCAAGTCACTTAACATTGTTTGCCTCAATTTCCTCAATTGTAAAGTGAGCTGGAGAAGGAAATGGCAAACCACTCCAGTATCTTTGTCAAGAAAACCCCAAATAGGGTCATAAAGAGTCAATGCAACTGAACAACAACAAAATGTCTTTGTCTTGGGTTTTGTTTTTCATGTCTCCACAATTGCTGGGGAAGGGAAAGGAGGGAGGGTCAAAGTTCAGAACTGAACATTAAAATTGAATGAAGTTGATGAATGAATTGAATGAAAAAAAGAATCAGGACATTAGCAAATTTGTAGAAATGTGTAGATTTTATTCTTAAGTGTGGACAGTATAGATTAGATAAACTATAATGGTTAGTACAAATTAATATTTATTATATTACAGTTTGCATAAATGTATAATTCTAATAAGTGTGAATATGGTAATTTGGGGTTTGATGAGCGTCTTTGAAAGAAAAAAAAAAACCACTACAGGAAGTTTGATTTTAAAGTGGATTTTAAAGAAGGGAAAGTCAGAGGTTGAGGGGATTCCTAAAATTATTTAGTAGAAATTAAAATATAATAATGTTTAGTAGTTATAAGGGCAGGAATAAAGTTGATTTAACAAACTATCCTACTGGGCACCACACTAGGAGAAAGGGAAGCAAAGATTGAAAAACAAATTCAGCCTTCAGAGAGTTTATTATCTTTAATAAACTTATCCTTGCTAAGCCAAAACAAAATTAAGTTTTGACTATGCATTATTTCTATAAAAAGACACTTTATAGGGAGGATATAATAGAGTTGGTAAAATAAAAATAAAATAGCTTATTTCTAGCTTTTATTGTTTGTCAGCAGCATTTCTTAAGTAGCCCTTTGTGAGGACAGCAGTAAATGCTATGGGGGCAAGTTAAATGACATAAAAGCAACAGACCTTTCTTCAAATAAATTACAGGATAGTTTGTCACAAACATATGAAAGTACTAAACAGCATTATGAAAGGGAGTATGCAGTAAGGTAATAAAATGTAGTCTAGGTTTTTCAGACATCTAAAATTTGGTTTTTAAAGCTTCTGATATTTACTACATTTTCTTTTTGAAGTTTTCAAAAGACCTGTGAAAGAAAATTGCCGATTTTTCAAATGCACATTGTAGATAGATTAGTATCTTCTTTTTGAATAAGATTTTGGAACAATGACAATTTCTTGAACTTGGGGGGAGGAAAAAGCCCAAGGCAGGGTCTGTTTCATATTGTGCTATCTGTTTTGAGAGTTATTTAAACTAGATATTGTGTTAACAAATGTAGCATCCTTATATTTATTGTTGATAGTGCTTGTGTTGGTAGTGATAAGGTAGAGTATTTTGCTAGCCTACTAGGGAACTTACTATATCCTGTCACTTTTCAGTGACCCTAAAGCATCCTGGGAAAGTACGTTTTCTTTTCCTCCTCTTTTCTTCCTCATTGTATTTCCATATTGATGCTGGGATGATGGTGGTTAGAGAAGAGAAGGAATGCAGTTCTTGCCCAGTCATTCTCAGTATTCCTTCACCTCATTTTTCTGCCATTGGTTATGTAAAAGACTGGTATATTCTCTATTTGGAACTTTGGAATTCTGGGTATATTGTTAAATAAAAGTCCTTTCTTCCTTACTACTGAGCCAAGTTTATTTAATTATCCCCTCTTCACTCCCAGCTGAATTCCATTAAAAAAATTCTGTACCATTTTAGAGGTTCAGATATTTTATGCCACAACCTGTAAACCTTAAATTATCCTCCATGATATTGTTTTATTTGTCATTCAGAGTTGCCTTGGGCCAAATATGGGATTTTTTCAGAATAAATTCCTCCACAGTGCTCATTTTCAGGTTACTAGTTCATTGAAGGTGCATTAATTATGTAGCTACTAAAGACGTTAAAGATAAAGTCAAGGTATCAGACTGTTAGTGTGTGAATGTATAAAGTTACTGTAAAGTTACTGGCTTAATAGGCTTGAAAATCTGGTTTTGCCTGACACATTGTTTTGTTAAAGCCAACAACTGTTACAAGCAGAATAAAAGCTCTTTGAAGTAGACTTTGTGGCAACAGCAGAATGTGACAGCTGACAACAAAGGAAGAAAGAAAAAAAAATAGAGAATCATGTGATTTATGAACATTCAATGTAGAGAAGGACAACTCTAACTCAATTTAAGAGTTTCTGAGATTTAATTTTGAGGAATTCAAGAATTCCTGAGGGTATCACTGAATTACAGAATGGCTGATAATTTTTAGTTAACTAGAAAGATTACATTATAGTTATTTTCTAAGGCAAAGATCTATGTAATTACATTGTAGACCTATTTCCATAAAAATATACATTGATAAATATTCATTCTTCTCTCCCAAAAAAATAAAGCCAAGAGAAAGAAAATAATTTTTCTAATTTGTGAAGAGCTTAAAAAGTGGTAGAAATATTATGTATTTTTAAAATCATCTTGAATTTTGACATTGATCAGATAATGTTATCTTTGAAGGGCTAATATGCCCAGAACTGGATTACCTCATTTCAATATGACTTTGATTATTAAATTTAGCTAACATACTTATGAAAGTTTTAAAAAATTTATTTATAGCTGGGTAGATATTTCTGTATGTAACATAATTTCTTTGCTTCTATTGACAGTGTTCTGCTTGGTCAGAATCGTGGTGGCATTGTCTTCAGCACTGATGATTATTTTCGACATCGAAATGGGTATACATATAACGTTAGACAGCTTGGTGACGCCCATGACTGGAACCAGAGCAGAGGTGTGATAACATTAGATGACGTTTCTCGGGTTTTTGAATAAATAAATAAAACAGGCTTCTCTGCTCAAATCAGCATCAAGATCCCAGTGTATAGAATTTCAGAGTTGGAAGGAATCTCAGTGGTCATTTAGTCTAACCCAGGGGTGGAGAACCTGTAGCCTCCAGGACATCAAGTGCAGCCCTTTGACTGAATCGAAACTTCACAGAACAGATCCCCTTAATAACCCATTTCTGAATAGGAATCCTTTCTGTAGCATCCCCCAGAAATGGTCATCCAGCTTTTGCTTGAAATCATACAGTGAAGGGGAACTTACTGCCTCCTGAGGATCCCTTTCTTCCTTTATTTGTAGATAGGTAGAATGGAATAGAAAAGATGCCTTTATTTGTTAGAAAGTTTTTCCTTATATCCAGCTAAAAATCAGCCTTCCTGTACCTTCCACCTGTGGCCAAGTGCAGCCCCTTCACTAAATCCAAACTTCATGGAACAAATCCTAAGGGCATTTGTTCTGTGAAATTTGGATTCAGTCAAAGGGTCACACTTGAGGATCTTCAGGGCCACATGTGGCCTCAAGGCCATAGTTTCCCCACTCCTGCCTAGGCTGTCACGAGGTCCAAATAAGATGATAGACAAAGTGAGTCTGGTACCTTCCTATCTTCCTTTCTGTGTTTTCTACTGGCTGCTTTGTTTTCTGTCCTAAGCACCTCTGCCTCCTGTATTTCCCAGTGTTTTAATGTTGGTCTTTGGCTGCCAAAAGCTCAGTCCTAGCTTGGGAGATTGGGAGGTTGGTGGTGTCTTCTGTAGTAATGGAAAGTTTGAAAAAGGTAATGTTTGAGAGGAAAGATAATGAATTCCATTTTGAACATATTGAATTTAAAATGTCTACAGGTCATCCTGTTTGAGATGTCCAAAAGGCAGTTGGAGTTGGAAGACTGGAGGTCAGCAGAGAGGTTAGGACTAGATAGATAAGTTGATCTGAGAATCAATCTGCATAGAGATTGGATGTGGGAAGTAAGAGAGTGAAAGTAACACCTTAATTGTAAACTTAGATGACTAGAAGGATAGTGGGGTCATTAACCCAAGAAAATCTCTAATGGGTAGAATTTCAGGAGTGGAATACATATTTTTGACCTGAGGTGGCCTACTTAAATTGGTGGATCCTACCATCCCCCTCTATCACAGTAGAACAGTAGTAGTTTAGCCAATCTGTTTCTGTGTTATGGTGCTATTTTTCTGTTGGAAACCATGTTCTCCAGTACATGTTGTAGGTACTACAGCCATTTATGTTGTTTTGATTGGGCTTCTAGATTGGGCTTATTTACCCTTAAATTGTTTTGACGTTTAAGCTAGTATGTAAGTAGCCACATTCACAAGTTCTTCCAAGTACTAGTGGTTTCTGCCACATTCTCCTAAGAGGAAGGCACATGTTGCTGTGTGACTCAAGTAGCTAAGTGTGATATATACATAGTTAGAGCTCTTTTAGCCCCAGCTAAAACATGACTAAAACAGCTGTAACAAGCAAGCTAGCTAGTCATAATAAATTCACGGTCTTGCCTGATTTAGAACAAATAAACAAATTATTTTTTCTAGAAACTTTTAGTAGAATGATCGTTTGTTGCCATTTAATTCTGTTGTGCATATTTACTTTGTGTTTCTAAAGTGTTTTTATTGAAATTTGCTTTTTCTTTCAGCAAAGAAAGCTATTGATCAGGGAAGATCTCCAGTTATAATAGATAACACTAATACCCAAGCTTGGGAAATGAAACCTTATGTGGAAATGGTAAATATGAGTAATAGAAAATTTTGATCTGGTTATTGTTTTCTCTTTGTACTTTTATCCAAGAATATTACAAATTTGGAAGCTTTGATTTTTATATTCCTTCCTATTTCAGAAAAGATTTTTTTTAATTGTATGTAATGACCCTCATATAGGTAGAAGTATGCTTGACCAAAGTTTATGATGTAAGAATTAATTTAACAATTGAAATAAAATAAATGTTGTTAAACTAAAACAAAAAATTCTAATGTATTAAGTATAAAAAATGTGAAATTTAAAGTGTTGCCTAATATGTGTGCAATGGTACAGCTGTTTCTTACTTTAGGAAATCTTCTAATTGGTTGCTTTTCTTAACCTGATTTTTGTAGGCTATAGGCAAAGGATACCGAGTGGAATTCCACGAACCTGAAACATGGTGGAAATTTGATCCTGATGAATTAGAAAAGTAAGAAAACATATTGATTTCTCAAATGAGTATTTTTTACACTGCTGGGTCGCTTGACAATAATACAGTATATTGATCTGTACAATTTAGAAAGCACTGTTGCATGTATTATCTCTTAATTCTAACAACTAATTTCAGAGGTAGGCAGAACAGGAAGTAGTATATTTCACAAAGGTTTAATGATCTACCCAGAGTCACAAACTAATAAGTGGGATTAGAATTAAGATCTTCAGATTTAGTCCAGTGCTTTTCTACTACATCTTGCTGCCTCTCTTAAATTGCTTTATGCAGAATATTAATGATAGAGTTCTGTTAAGTGACAATTATATTAAATTTGTTCTTTTAATTTAAATGGAACTTGGACTTTTTCTTGTTATATTTTGATTTTATTTATACCTTTTGTTTTTATGCCACTTTCATTTTAATATATTCCTTCCCTTATTCTACCCAGCAAGACATCTCATAAGGAAGATTGAAAAAGAGGAAAAACAGTTCAGCAAAGCAAACCAACAACCCTGGCTGCCCATCCCCTACCCCCACCCCAGTTTGATTGTATATCCAAAGAACATTTCTATTTAAATGTTAAAGCATAGTTTTTAAAGGATCCTGTCATTTACTATCTTTTATTGACTTTAATTTCATGCTTATCTTATGTGATTTCTAAGATGTTGGAAGTAATCAATACCTCTGTTGTCCTCTCTCAGCACAGTAACCATAGTAGGCCAGCTCTGCATTTTGCTTCTAGTCTCCTGTCATCTCTGTTCCAGTATACTTCTTGGCTTCCCTTTATACTTCCTTCTTTAGACCAGTTTCTTGCAACTTCATGCATTTTCAGAGAAGCAGTCTTCCTTCCTTTTTCTTTTTGATCTTCTCATTGCCTCTTGTACAAAGCATCAGCAGTGGTGAAAGGAATTCTTTATATTTTTTCCTAACATATCATTGTGACAGGGAAAAATGAAATAAAAGTTAAGAAAGTATGGATATTAGAGTTAAGCATAGAATATATTTCCAGGTACTTTTTGACATGTCATCCAATTCATAATATAAAATATTAAAGGGAGAGTGAACGAAATGATACAAACTTCTACCAATGTTTGAAGAATAATTTTATTTTCATTCTTTGGTGACTCTAGCTTGGCTTTCAGTCCCGCAAGACTTTTTCATCCTTTATAATTCTTGTCCATGTTTTCTTATGAATCTTCCCTAGAAGCCCTAATGCACTGGAAGCTGTCCTTTGGTTCTTGAAGATACTACTGCATCATTTGGGTTCATCATTTATATTTCATTTTTTGTTACGTCACTGGTTTTATCTTGTTTTTTTGGTCAGACATGTTCTTGATATATTTTGTTCCACAAATATTTCTTTTGCTGTTTGAGTTACTTATGATTCCGATTCTTCTTAGATCTTGATGTTAGAAAAATATTGGTATTAGGGGGCAGCTAGGTGGCGCAGTGGATAGATCACCAGCCCTGGAGTCAGGAGGACCTGAGTTCAAATCCAGCCTCAGACCAAACACTTGACAATTACTAGCTGTGTGACCCTGGGCAAGTCACTTAACCCCCATTGCCCAACCAAAAAAAAGGAAAAGAAAAATATTGGTGTTAAAGAAGTGAACTTTTATAGCAACATATGAATGTGCTATAGTTCGAGTTCATTAAAAGGAGTTTGCAGGATTATGTGATTGGCAAGAGGGAGGAATAGTTTTCTGCAAGTCTCTGCAACCCAAAAACCTCAGAAAGAGGAATTATGTGCCAGATGTAATGTAACAAATCAATCAGCAATCCTTTATTGTGCATCTACTATGTGCTCATTGGTGGAAATACAAAGGCCAAAGATGAAATGGTCCTTTTTCTCAAAGAGCTAATGTTTTATTGAGGGGAAGAAGATGAGGGGAATTTACATATAGAAATATATAGAAAGTGAATAAGTATGGAATAAGTACAAAAGAAATAAAATACATACTAAATAACTATAAAGTTAAGGAGTGCAGTAGCAGTTGGAAAAATCAGGAAAAGCTTCATGTGAAGGTGGTGCTTGAGATCCATCCACCAGACAGAGCTCAGGAGAGAGAATTGTAGGCATGTGGGAGAGCCAGGGCAGATGTGATAGGTTGACTAGGCCACAGAGGAGGAAGGAGAATAATGTGCACTTAGGCCAGAGAGCTAGATTGGGGCCTAGTTGTGAAGAACTTTAAAAGCTAAACATAGGAGTTCATATTTTATCTTAGAGGCCATGTGGAGTTATTTTGAGTGGAATAATGAAATGGTCAGGTCTGTATTTAGGGAATATTATTTTGTCAGCTGTGTGGAGGATAAATTGGAGAGGAGAGAAATTTAAGGCAGGAAGACCAATTAGGAAGGTGCTGCAATAATCCAAGTGATATCTATATGAGGAAAGAGAAGATATCAGATTCAGGCGGTATTGTCCTGGTACAAATGGCAAGATTTGGCAACTGATTGGATGTACAGAGTGAGGGGCCTGCAGAGAGAAGAAGATAATGATGAGATTACAAACCTGGGAGACTGGAAAAGAGGTGTTGCTTTTGAAAAAAATATGGAAGTTTTGTAGAGGGGTAATAGAAGAAGGAAGTTAATGAAGGCAGAATGGCACAGTGGAAAGTGTGCTAGACTTAGAGTTCCTTATTGCCTGTATGATCTTGAGAAAGTTACTTAACCTCTTCTGTCATCAGCTCCTTATCTGTGAATTGAAGGGTTAGACTAAATGTCCTATAGGGTCCCTTCCAGCTCTAAATCTGGGATCCTTTGATACTGATTGTTTTGGACATGTTAAGTTTCAGATGTCTCTGGGACATCAGGCTGAAATGTCCAGTAGGCTGTTAGTGATTTAAAGAAGAGGTGGAAGGTGGATATAAAGACGATATAAGAAGACAATTAAAAACCCATTGGAGTTGATGAGGTTCTTAAGAGAGGTGGGGATATGGGGCAGCTAGGTGGCGAAGTGGATAGAGCACCGGCCCTGAAATCAGGAGGACCTGAGTTCAAATTTGGCTTCAGACGAAATTTGACATTTACTAGCTGTGTGACCTAGGCAAGTCACTTAACCCCAGTTGCCTAAAAAAAAGAGAGAGAGAGAGAGAGAGAGGTGGAGATAAGGAGTTATTTACTCCCAGAAGGCCTAAAAAGCTTAGCCTAGTTGTGTCTGTGTGTGGGGGGGGGAATGAAACTTTAACAAAAGAGGCATTTGAGATATTGATGCAGAAAACCACAAAACTTTTATGTGAGCTGAATATTTGACTTGCAAACTCTCTAACCAGGAGAAATATATGAAGGGTATATATGTATAATTGTCAAGAAGAGATCATAGTATCACAGATGTAGAAGGGACCTCAAAGGCCACTCAGACCCCTTCATGTTACACATGGGGAAAAAGGCCTGAGGACATTAAGTTACTTGCTCAAGGTCACACAGGTAGTTAAGCAAAAACAAGTAATGAATCAGTATTGTCATTTTTATAGGCTTTTTAAAAGAGATTCACCTGAGGGATTATCATGGGTTAAAAGAACCCAAGAAACTAAATATTTAAGGGGAACTTAATCAGGAGAAGTGAAGGAAGAAGAGCCGAGTTACAGTGATATTCTAAGGACTAAAGATGCCCCTTAAGTGAGTCAGATTCTTTCTGTGGTAGTGGTAACAGTGGAAAGTTATATAAAGGAGTAGAGGAGAGATGATAAAAAAGGGGCACTGAAGATGCACCCTTACCAAATACATAAGCGAATAGATAAAGGATAATAATTTCTTCAGACTTTTAACAATAAGGTCACACAGCTAAGTATGGGAAGAAGATAAAGACAATCAAGGGAAGGAATTGGGATAGGGGGAGAGTAAAGGAAGAATCTCACCTCAGAAAAGGAAAGGATTAGGTAGCACTAAAGAACATGTACATTGAGAGCAGAGAATTGTATGTCTGTGGTAAGAGACAGGGCTTTGTAATGGGTTTTATCTATAGATAGATACTTGCATATTAGGAGGTCATCTTTTTAGAGAAGGCTGTACATCCCAAGGACTGCATCTCATCCCAGAATAGAGAGATCCCATTCATCTCAAGGGAAATTAGCATCTACACTGGGGTGGGGAGGTAAAATAGAAATAGGTCAACTTGTAAGATGAGAAATATCAGATTTTTGTCTTCCCCATCCTTAAAAAACCTTCACTACTCCTCTACCATTCCCTCAAGCTATCAAATTATCATATAGCTTTTCTCCTCTCACTCATTTTTTAGTTCTTTGAAGTCTGGTTTCTGACCTTATTGCACTGAAACTACTCTCTCCAAAATTACTAATGATCTTTTAATTGCTAAATTTGTTGGCCTTTTCTCAGTAATCCTTATCCTTAGTATTCTTTATTTCCATCAATTTTCAACTCAACTGTCACCTCCTGAATGAAGTTTCCTGATCCCTCGCAACTGCTTTTCCCCTCAAAAAACACCCTGACAGTCTTCACTTTCAGTTCAGTGCCTTTTCACTGACACACTGGCTCTGCCCCATACCTGGAATGCTCTCTCCTCATCTCTACCTCCTGGCTTTCCTAGCTTCTTTCACGATTCAATTCAAAACTCACTTTTCACAGTTTTCATCCTCAACTCTCAATAAGTTTCATCCCTCTGAGATTCCTTCTCATTTGCATTGTATGTATCTTCCAAATCCACTGTAGCATGTTGTCTCCCTCGTTAGCATGTGAGATTCTCGAGGGGAAATACTGTTTTTGCCTTTCTTTGTGTTCTGATACTTAATAAATGCTTATGGATAAACATGGTGGTAATGGTGGTAGTGAAGAAAATGGTGTCACCTGTTGAGTTTATAGTCTTGCTGGGGAGACAATGTGTACAAATACAGTTATACATGAAAGACACATTTGAGACATCCTTTTGTTTGTTATTTATTTGTTTGTTCATTTGTTTTTGGTAAGACAATTGGGGTTAAGTGACTTGCCTAGAGTCATACAGCTAGCGAGTGTTATGTTTGAGGCCAGATTTGAACTCAAGTCCTCCTGACTCCAGGGCCAGTGTTCTATCCACAGCACCACCTCGCTGTCCCCATCCTTTTGTTTTAACTTGGTACAGTAAGGCTTCTATATCATGGGCAGATGTCTTAGATGAACATATCTCTCCCTGCTTTTTACACTGCATTTATTGTACTAACTCAGGAATTGTTAAAGTGATTTTCATGATTAGACATGAAGAGAAGCTTCAAGGCTGTATTTTGCTCTTCTGAGCCTTTTCTAAAAGTCAGTAAGTAGTGCTGCTTCCAGACTGTGTGACCAGGTGGTAAGTCACTTCAGCTCCCTGGCCCTGATCTTCTCATCTGTAAATAAATAATCTCTAATGTGCCTTCTGTTTTTGAATCCTTTTAATCTAAATAATTACCAGAAGGATCTTAGATTTTCACAGTTTTCATTCAGGTGACTGTGAAGATGTGGATTGGTGTAACAAAAAAAAAAAGTGCACAATTTGCTTGTTCTTTTTTCAAATGTTAATTGAGGATATCAGTTCATGGAGAGAATAGTTTTATATGGATTTTTTTAGAAGTGAGAAAGAAGTAAATAGTTGTTGATATCTACTAGTGTTTTTGTTGTTGTTGTTTTTGTTTTTATAGTATTAGTGCTCTCAGTGATCATTTGAAATCTTCCTCTCCTTGACATAGTCTAAGAATTGATCCTTGAGTACTTTTAAAATTGTGTCCACTCTGGCCAGGCACATCTTTCTGTATTTGCTCATTCTAGCCCTTCCAGATTTTATTTTCTTAAATACAACTAAGAGGTGGCTGCTTCTCACAGCTGGTAAAGTCAGAGTCTAAGTATGGTAGTACATCTGTCTTTGAAAATAGGTCTACATAAATACATCAGCAGATCTGTTCTATCTTTTCTATTTGTTGTCATCCTTTGAGATTCAAAAAATACTTTGGGGATAATCTGTTTTAGCTGAATCTCCTACTATACTATCTCCAGACTAATTTTTCCTCAACTGTTTGTTTTTTAAAATATTGAATTAATAAAGTGATCATTAGCATTCCAATACATTTACTTTCCTGATGCTAATAATTCAACATTTTAAAAGTACTAGAACTGTATTACTTTCTTCTGATATTATTAGAACAGTTTGCCTTCCTGTTAGCTAAGAAAATAAAATGATAGTCCTAATCATATAGTGATTAAATGATTATATAAAGCTGGAATTTCTGGTAATCTTTGAATGAATCTTTTCAAACAATTCAGTCTCATAGAGGAGTTTTTAGTTTGTTTAATTTAAACAAAAGGGGGCAGAATTATTGATTTTGCTTAAAAAAATAAAAATTTTTTATTTTTTTTGCTGACTAAATTGTCAGCAAAACAACTTAATATACAATTTATTTACAAAGGATTGTTTTAGGTTAGAGTTAAAATATTAAGATTTTTGTTCCTATCCAATGGATGAAAGATTTTAAATAATGCATTTCAAATACTTGGAATAGCATCATGCGATTCCTAGTAGTGTTCTGTTTTTAAATTGGCATTTCATAAGCTGCAGAAGATTAGATTTCAATGATAATTAACTTTTTCTTGTGAATTGCTGTACAATTTTAACTATTATAAATGAACTTTGAGAAAGCAAATATAAATAATTGCATCTAAAATGTATATAGAGGAGCTGTCTTATTTAATGTCAGTTTTTAAAATACAAAAACCTAACACCTGGTATTCTGCCAATGTAAACAAAAAAACTATTTTTTAAAAATTGTAATCATTCTTCTTTTTTTATAGGAGGAATAAACATGGGGTGTCTCGTGAAAAGATTGCACAGATGTTGGATCATTATGAATATAAAATGTCCATCTCTATTGTAATGAATTCAGTGGAGCCTCCACATAGAAGGTCTGAGAGACTTCGAAGACAGAGGTGGGGAGGCTGTGTAGACTCATGGAATCACTTTGATGTTGCAAAATAACTAATATTAAGTCTGCTTTCAACTAAAGTGAGCTTGTGGCTTACCCTTAAAAAACGAGCATTGAGACTTTATGGAGGTTTTTAAATAGGTTCACGTCTAATAAAAAAGGAACTATCATTACCTCACAGAGTTTGTTCCCAGAAAACTGTTTAAATTTTAAAATGTAAATAAAAAATAGTATATAAATTGTACCTTATTTTTAAATAATTTTTATTGTACTAATTTTGGTTTTAGCAAAACATCTGAATACTGTGGTATGAAACAGAATTCTTTACTTCAGTTGAATCATAAAATAATTTTGATGTCCGAAGTAGGAACCATTGAGTAGTTTTTAATAAGTTTATTGTAAAAATTGGTTATAGATAAAATCTGGACTATTCTCCCCCACAGACAACTTGGAATATGCAAAACATAGCTAACTTGTTACAGTGTATTCTGATATTTTATATGGTACTCATTTCTTTATATGGGTAAAATATTGTTTCTACAAACATGTCCACTTAAAAACATTTCTAAACTCCAACCAATGGCTTAATTATTTTGAATAGATTTTAATTTTAAAAATAAACTGAATAGTCCCTTAGAATTGATTATAATAAAATTTTGCCCTAGGATATTTTGCTTTTGACACTTTTTTTAAAATACAGAGCACCTTATATTTTCTGAGCAACAGTTTTCATGTTGAATTAGAATTCCATCAGTTAAAATTGTAAAATAACACTAAGTTAATATAATTCATCCCCCTTAATTTCAGGCAAAGTTAAAAAATCATATGCGGAGCTAGAGTGAATTAACAGATAAATGAAAAGGCATTTATAAAAAAGTGCTTGCTATGTACCAGATACTGTGCTAAGCTCAGGACGTGAATAAGCGCCGAAGCCCTTTACAATATGCCGCCACTATATCTTTCCATCCCTAATTACTGCCCCTTCATGCACACTGTGAGGATCAGTTAGTAAAACCTTTTAATTTCATACTTGAGAAAACTGAGCCCCAGGGAGGTGAAGAGTTTTATCCACATAGCACAAAGCTTCAAGCAAGAGAGAGAGGATTCCAACCCAGCTTGGGCTCTTGATTCCAATTGGCCCTTCTACTGTCTCTGTACAATTGCCCTGGATTTGTTCTATTCTTAAAGGTCTCCAGCAAACTTCTTCATTATCCTCTTCCAGTGTTTAACAGTTTAACTAGCAGGAAAACTTTTAAAAAGAAACCTGTGATTTTGCTGGTGTAAAAGGTATGCATCAATGCAATTAAAAACCTTCTATGCCATAACAAATGGTTTATGAATTGCTGTGGCCAGAACTTCATGGTTTATTACCTAGTGGCCAATTTCATGGTAAGAAGCTCTTTCCAACTTAGCTGGCTTCATCCTTGATTAGTAGGGCAAATGACCTGTTGCTGGGTGCTGAAAAGGACGCATCAGAGCTTGTGTTCCTCACGTAGCCCTCAAGTGCCCAGGATCATCTGAGGAATCAATAGGGCTTTATAGAAGACTTGATGACATTGTACATTTATAGTTCCCCTTCACATGTTATATGTATGTCATATCATATAACATCCATTACCAATTAATAACTGTCTATATCCTTAAAGCCTTTTTTCTAAACCCAACATTCCCAATTTTTGCATCTTTTTTTTTTTTGCTGCTTCTCAATATTTTGCGATTCTCTTAAACTTACTTCTCAATTCTTTCTTCTTTCTCTTCATCACTCTCGCATTGTAGAATTCAAAACCAGGTGCAATATTCACGCAGGCTTTAGGGAAGTTACCTCAGGGTTTACATATTTGTACAGCTAAGTGCCATGGTTAGTTTTGAATGAGTGTTATATTACCTCACTCTTGTTCTTGTTCAGCATATATCTGTGTATTTGCAAATATAAATACAGACATGTGCTAACTCATGCTCCATATTTTCTTTTTTCTCAGAAAAGTACTTATTATAACCTTATTCCCATAGTACCGTATTTCTTTTTTTTTTTTTTGGCAGTTGGGGTTAAGTGACTTACCCAGGGTCACACGGCTAGTAATTGTGACGTGTTTGGTGTGAGGTCACATTTGAACTCAAGTCCTCCTGACTCCAGGGCTGGTGCTCTATGCACTGCGCCACCTAGCCGCCCCTCCATAGTACCATATTTCTAAAGTATGCTGTCACAAAGTAGAATTAATAAAAGTAAGTTTAGTTTCTGCAGGGAAAAAAACAACTCATCTTTTCTTTTCTTTTCTTTTTTTTGCTTCTGTCTCCTTCAGGGTTTCTCTTAGGAAATGGAATATAGTAAACCACCCTTGCTTTTAGGAGCAAGAGGCAAGTAACAGGAGAACCAAGTTATAGGATATATCTTGTGATCACTATTGATTCAGCCCACTTTCCTGTAATCTATAACCCTAATCTTCCAGTCTTTATATCTGTGATCCTCCAGAATGATCATTCAAAATTCTGAAGCATCAAATAAAGAATTAATTACTTTAATTAGACCATATATAGCAAAGCCCAAAAAGGAATATTTTTTAGGAAAACTTTTAGTAACAAGGGTTGAAGTAACAGTTTTTGGCAAAAAACAAAAAAATTATTCTTGTTAATCATGGTTTTCCTTCTAGCTTTTTGAATAGTAACATGAGGAAAGACTAAATAAGTGATCCCTTTCCCTTAGATTTCCAAATTAATATTTTAGGTGATCACTTAGCAGTGAAATAAATAAATTGTAGAGAGGAAATTTTTTAGTTTGAAAGCTGAGGTGATTTGATTATCCAAAATTTGAAGATAGAACTTAAGAATATAGGTTATATTGACAGGATCTTTGTGGTCATTCTTCTCCCCCACCCCAGCAGAAGTTAATTATACTTATTTTTAATTAAATAATATTGTATATTATCACATTATCTCCCAGCACTCCCTGCTTGGCCTGAGTCTAAAATTTATAACAGACATCTTACTTAGATCGTTTATATTAGTGAACTGCAGCTGTAAAGTTTACTCACAGTTCTTAGCTACATTTTTCATAGGTTTTATATAAATATTTGTGCTCCTGGGATAAACTAATTTGCAAGTTACATGTGTGTCACAAATCCTGTTGGTATTTTTTTTAAAAAAGCAAAAAAAAAACCTACTTGCATGGTCATTCAAGTTGAACTTGGTTATATTTGTCTTTTATCTTCGTTTTGAATTAATATTCTTTATTTCCTGTGCTATGCCTGCTTAACTGGAATATTAGTTCTGTTTATGAAATCTCTCTTAAAATATTGTTTGAAAAAGACTGGGTTGTATTTTTTGTGGGCTGATGGAGTTCAAATATTTGGAAGCAGATGCTGCTTAGTATGTTTTCCAATTAATGTAATCTGTTTGGGATTTTCCATTTTCTGCATAGGGTTAAGCTTCTGAGAGATCATGACTAAATGGGGAACTGTTGTTTGTTATTAGAGAAATGGCTGGGTTTTTTTCTGATACTAGATTTGAAAATATTTGTAGAGTCAGTAGTGGTAATACTGTTAGTGGAAAATGTTGAGGAAAAGCAGTTTTTTCATTGTTATTGACAAAGTATCCAAGTTAGCACATTGAATGATTGGTTGCCAACTTCTGTTGCACCTTCATCTAGTATAAAAGTGTGGTTGAAGTAAGTATACATTCAGTTTTCTAAACCTGAATTAAATACTCAACTCAAGTAAAGCCAGTTTTCACCAGTACTGTACAAGGAAGCATTAGATGGCTTTGCTGTTAAAAAGCCATTCACATAAGACATTGAGAGCAAGTAGATTGGATTAATTTTCCAAGTGGGGTCCAGAGTGAGAAAATCTGATGCTCTGTTAGAAATTTGCATGAGATTTTCTTCCATGTTTCTAATGAAAATAGAAACTTGAAGACAGATAGGAGTTAGCTGGTAGTAAGTTTGTTACAATAGATAGGTCCTCAAAGAGAAGGTGGAGCAATAGCCGTGTGAAACAACCCTGCCTTGTAGCCTTATTTTACCTTTGGAAAAGAAGTTCTTAAATGATTTGGTTAAAATTGTGAGATGTTTTAGGACTAAAATATTTACCTTGGTAGTGGCTGATAATATTTTCAAAGTGGGTGCCTGAAAAATCTATTATCTTAATTTCACAGGTCAGAAAACTAGTAGTGGGATGCTTGCATTTTTATATCTACCATTTACATTTAGACCAGACTGAACTGCATAATTTAAGTGTTTAAAAGTGAGAAAAATAAAGTTTTTCACCTGCTATAATCCTTGAGAGGCTGAGAATGATAAGTTAAAATGCATCTGCCTTGGAAATAAAATTTTACCTTCCAGTTGAGTGAAGTTATGTAGACATACTAAAAAGGAGGCAACCAGGTGCACTGTAGCTATTTCAGAAAAAGCCTAAGATCAAATAGAATTTGAATTGGCCAGTTCTCATTAATTTAACACAAATGCTTAGGCTTTGCTTTAATCTTAGAACAACTTTGAGTCACATTGACTAGGTATGTATTGAGTAACCAAGCCTTAATCAAAGGTTGCCTTTCTAGTTGTGAATAGTCTCATATTCTTTCTAAAGTGGTAAATTAGAAAAATCTTTGAGAATCTTTGAATTTTTAAAGGAAACTATTGCTTTTTTTAAAAATTCCTTCACAATTAAAGAAATAAAAATAGCCCATACATTTGTATTTTACAATGTATTTTGGTTTCATAATGGTCATTGAAGTATATATAGTTTGGAATATTTGTGCTTAGAGTTGTAGTTGTCTTTTTAAATATGGGGACAGGTAAAAAGTAGTTAACTTTTTTCCAAAGGTGATAATTTTTGTTTACAATTTTGTCTCCTCCTTTCTTACTGTGCTTTTGATGTCTTAGATTTTCTCCTCTACTCCTGAGTATAACAAATTAATGAAACATTTTGGAGGAGGTTGTATATTCATTCTCTTCCTTTATTCTCTCCTGATCTGCCTTTACTCATTTATCATTTTCTGGCTTATTACTTGCAT